TGGTCCGGGTGCATCATAGCCATATTGTCATGTCTCAGCCTGCCTGCTATGGGCCAGTGATGATCAGGCTGCGTCGTCAAAACATGTAGCAGAAGTAACACTTCTTATCTAAATGCTTTGGGTCTTCGAAAAAAAATTATGAGAAGGAAAAAATCTTCAAGCAGTCTTCAGAGTCTGATGTGAATAATGTTTATTACAGAGGCTGCACGAACAAACATGAGCAAAATCTTGGCCAGCTAACAATGCGTTATATGTCCTTATATACATGTGAACTTCGTCCAACTCCTCTACTTTACCAGACAAATCCAACCCATTTTCTTCGATACCAATCCGAAAGTCCGTTGGGGTTGAGTCTTTACACAGGTTTGTTCAATATACCGATTCATTTAGTTTACACATCATATTATCTAATCTCGTTATTTGTTTATGCTTAAATCTTACACATTGTATTTTTTGTCTTATTTTATGCTTTCAACCGTATTTAGACATCCTAATCACATCTCCAGTTTAGTCTTTTGTTCAATTCTAAAAAATTCCACATTCTCCAATCCTTATGACTTTAACTTTTTGTTTTTGTTCTGGTTTTGGTCTCGACCTCCCCAGAATGACGTCTTCCTCTCAGGCTGCTACATGCACCTGAAACAACTTGTGTTCTAATAGATTATCAACCTGATCAATGATCAATTAACATGAACATGAACTGATTGTCTGTTGGATAATAAACACATGTATGGCTGAAACTCAGCTGCCTCTGTGCTTCATTCACTGTAGTGTTGAGGTCAAAATGAATAAAACTGACACTCAAGTCAGGCAGTACAGTCCTGCAGTGGTTAGAACTGCTGCCTCGCAGGTAGAAAATCCCCGGTTTGCGTCCTGGTGAGGAGACCCGGGATCTTTCTGCGTGTAGTTTGCATGTTCTCCCCGTGCAGCGTGGGTTCTCTCCGGGTTCTCCGGCTTCCTCCCACAGTCCAGAAACATGTTGAGGTTAATTGGTGATTCTAAATTGTCCGTAGGTGTGAATGTGAGTGTGCTTGGTTGTCACACAACACAAGCAGGTTCAGGCAGAAAAGCAGGTTTATTACCAGGCAGGGTTCGGTACACAGGTGATCAATCAGACAGGCAGAGGCAAAAAGGCAAGGTCGAAGGCAGAAACAAGGTCGTACACAAAGCAGACTATGACTATGACACGCTGGGACGAGGAGCGTGAAGTAGAACGAGCTGGCAACGAGACTGTGAGACACACAGGGTACGATACAGGAGGTAACAAGGGAGGATGGGAACAGGTGACGGGAACAATCAGGGAGCAGGTGTGACGAGGCGGGGGAAGGGCGTACAGGAAGTGAACCTACAACAGGTAGTGATTACAAAATAAAACAGGAAGGACAAGACATTAAATGTGCAAACAGAAAACGGAAGCTTGACGGACATGACAGTTTAAGGGCTCAGTTCAGCACTGTTCAACTGTTGAATCCTTGTTTGTAAACCATTCTTATCTTGTGGATAGTTGGGGCTACTTATTTATTTTCAGCTTGGTTATTGTAGTTGGGTTTTGGGTTGGTAGACATTTCTGTCGTTAGGGAGGTTAGATATAATCAAGCTTTTGGCTATATCTGTCCTTTAATAACTCCAACTCTGGTCACTCTAAACTCTACACAGCGTCTGTCTGCTGTCTTGTTACCTTCCTCGCTCACCCTAAACAGCTGCGTGGTAACAGTTACTCAAAAACTGCCTTCAAACCTCTGGATGCAAGCTGTGCATCCGTCCACCAGATGGAGCTCACACATCTGCAAACCAGCTGCTTCCTCTGTGGATGTTACTGTTTAAAAAGCTCCACACCAGCGGTCATGCATTTTTCAGCCAGTTTAGCTCGAGCTGATGAAACCTGCTGAACTGTTCTGAAGCTGTTTGATCAGGAAATGTTGAAAAATGTGGATCAAAGCCCAACATGACAAATGTCACATTTCTTTCACAACCCAAAAATATTCAGTTTCTTAAAACCTTCATCAGGTTGATGCCAGAGATGACATTTAATGAATGTAAAACACATACAAGAAGTTATTTCTGTAAAAATAAGCAACACTGACTTCTAACACCAAAGGTGTAGAAGAATCTAACATCTGTCAATATTTTGCCACCAATTAATTAATTACACAAAGAGTTGGTTCATGTAGGAGCTGAAAACTAACTGAGCCGTTGTGCTTCTCTAATCAAAAGCAACACGTGTCAGAAAAAGATTTTGAAGATTTACAGAATTAAAAAGCTCTGAGTTTCATTTTACTCTCACATTAGCGAAACAACAGATTCATCAGAATTTAGACGACTGTCTTCTGTCATTTTCACCAATGAATCAATCCACTAGTTGTTCTGTTAAATGTTTCCATCACACATCAAAATGCAGAAATTAAATCTGCAGCAAATGCTTGAGACAGAAAGACAGAAAAGTTTGCAAAAACTAAAAAAAGACTCAAGAAAAATAAATAGATAAGTAAAAATGAATAATTTGGTGACAGAGTCACAGAAATGTCCAAGTGGAGAAGTAAATGAAATGCATCAAAAGTACCCTCACGAATATGTTTGTTTACTGGATAAAGGTCTGAGTGAGTCGCCTCTGCAGAGAACAGTAACAGGATTTCCTGATGCTGTGTCGATCTTTTGTCCTGCAGAGGCTGGATGGAGGATCAACAGCTGCTAACCCCTGGATCAGTGGTTCATTCTCTCTGACAGTGGTGTACCGTCAGGTCCAGTGAGGCCTTCTCTGCTGGCCTGAACTCTATCAGAATCACTGACTTACCTTGTAATATTTTCCCATGAATCTTTTAACTTTATCCCCAATAGTCTTCATTTCATAGTGTGTCTCTGGGCTGTGGTGCTTCCAGCAGTGTCTGTTTATATTAGAGCTTTTATCCAGTCATATTTCAGCCATCATGTGTTGCCGGGGTCAAAGAAATCCTGTTTCCAGTGTCCTTGCGCCTCAGACTCTTCATTAGAATCTTGTATCTGTGATTATTGATAGCTTTGGCAGTCCACTAGATGAAGTAGTATCTCAAACTATTTGTGTTGGAGGCCTGGTTGGAAGATCAGGCACTTTGCGCTCCTTGGAAGCCGGATGTTGTTTGCTGTTCGCTCTGCCCTGCAAACAAAACCATTCAAGTTGATCCCGATAACGAGAGAAATGAAAAGCTTTTTCAAATTGTTGACAAAAGCAGCAGTGCTCATTTCTAAGTTATCCAAACACACTGTGGGGATTTTTCTTTTTTATCATGAGCCGGTGGACAAATAGGAGCAGTTTGTTTTACTTTGACTTTCTCTTTTGCTCCATGTGCCTTGTGAACTGCGTGACAATCAGACACACAACAGAGACAAACGAATTAAAGGTGACTTTTATTTGAAAGCAGTGTTTATCATAAATGTATCGATGTGAAAAGAAGCAATGAATGGCTGCAAAGTATTCAAAATAATCATGAACTCTAACAGCAATAATGACAGCGAGGATGTCACGTTCAGTTTAACCCTCTGAACCCCGAAACCCACAGACGGGATTGGAAGTCATTTATAGAACTGAGGCTTCTAAGTACTAAATAAAAGCATATTTTGATGAACTTTGCTGACCAGTGTAGATCCACTTTAACTTTTATGTGAGAGCACAGGTGCTGATGAATAACCTACTGTTGTTGTAATGGTGTCAGCATTATACACTTTCATTTTCATCATAAAACACACAAAGTGACCGGAGGACTGCTTTAATCTTTAATCTCAGCCTTTTCCTTATAAAGGGCCTTATCTACCTTTTCTTTTGTTTAGGAAAGCTAGGGTTAATTTAGATTACTTTTGTCTGACTGCTTTAACCTTTAATCCCGGTGTCACACTTTCACTTTATGTCACTTTATTTAGTTTGTGCACAGAAACAGGCGGTCCTGAGGCTCAGTGAGGTCAATAAATACGAGCTGCTCTGGTCACTCAGTGGATCCTTCACACTGATCAGTGCTGCTGCCTGAATTCATCTCATCACTGCTGTAAGTTTGATCTGTTTACTGATTCTAATGCCATGTTAATGAAAAACTGATTTAGAGAAATATTTTTCATTAATTAGGGTCCGAGCGCTAGAATTTCTTTTTCGCCGAAAACAAACAGAATTTTGAGGTTCTAAACATGCTCGAAAAGAGAAGCATGTTTGGCCTGGAGCTACGAAATTCGGTAAACACATACAGTCATGGAAAAAATGATTAGACTACCCTTGTTTTTGATGTATATACTTGAGGGATTTGGGTTATTATCGAGAAAACCTGGACATGGCCAGATATCAGCTCTTACATTAAATTCTTATGAGCTATTTTTGTTGTTATCAATATATTTGTCCAAACAAATGTACCTTTAGTGGTACCAGGCATTAAAATGAAAAAGAAATTGAAGAAAACAGGAAGTCTGCCATTTTGGAAAAATGTCGAGCATTTCAGCGATTGTCGCTCATTTTTGGACATTTTCAAAATCTGTTTCCTCCTAGAGGGTTGGCCGTACACACCTGAAATTTGGCCAGCCCAAACTACAGGACATGGTGATTAAAAGTTATTAAAACGCTCTGCAAAACTCTGATGGCCTCAAAATGGCGGCCCGTGGAATGTTGACAAAACGCCATTATGCGATTTTTTGCTCAATTCGGGCCTTTTAAAAATCCATCTCATCCTCGAGGGAATGTCGTTGTGTGTGTATATAAAATATGGACAATAATGATTAGCTACCGCCCAATTTGACATCACATTATTAAGTAGATGAAGCAAAGCTGCTTTTTCTTTTGTTTTTAAATTTTCTATGTTTTCATGTTTAATTTTGTTTGGTCTAAATAACTTCATCTCAGCATTTCTAAGCTCATTTCTGAATTTGAAGAGCTTCAGACGTCCATTTTTAAGTGAAACCTGAAGTTGTTCGTGTCACTGATGTACAAAGTGTAACAGATCACAGAAGATGATTTCAGCTGTGTAACTGATCTGTGTTCTGTTGTTTGCAGGCATCATGGGAAATTTACTTCCAACACACCGCCAGTGTGCAGTTCAAATTAACAATAATTGTACCAGCTACGTCCTGCGTAACCCCAGGTGAGTGCACACCTGAGGTCTGCTCATATTTACGCTTAATATAAACTTTATTTTAAACAAAATCAAAGTGTAACTGATAGCTTTCATTGTTCAAGTAGTTGGTAGGCTTTTATTCTACAATATAATATAATATAATATAATATAATATAATATAATATGTACAACAATATTAAAGTCATAAAGTATATAGTAATATAATGTAATGTGTAGTTTACGAGTCACTAGCAGTCCCCTGCTTACAGTCTTACATAACAAACCTCTGTTGTTCTTTTTCCGGCACAGAACTGGAGTTACGTCCAGTAACTATTTAGTTGGATGAACTTTGGGTGGAAAAGGTTCCTAAAGTGGAATTGTGTATTCACTGAGGTGTCTCTTGTTTCAATGACAGGGTGTACACTGACAGTGGACACTGTAATGAAGCTTTAACACCAACAATCGGACCGTCTTCAGACGGTCACGGTTTGTTCATGAAGACTCCTTACACGGCCCGAGGAGCTGTTGGCGTCTTCACCTACGATCTCTACAATGAGACTACAAAGAGAGATGATAACAAGGTCGCTGTCATGTTCTCCAATCCTTATGACTTAAACATCTACTCTAACTGTTTCGCAGTGGGAATCATTGATGGGAACCAACCCTGTGATCAGAGTCTGTATGAAACAATGTGCTACCACACACTGGAATGGTTTGTCAGAGCTCAAGCTGGTTCTTATCTGACTTACAGTAAAGGTGATGTCACCATCTCAGCCACCATGACTGACGCTTACCAGGTGGACTTGACCGTCACCGTCAGCAGCACAGTCTGCTAACAGAAGAAAATGTGCTTCTTTTACTGTACAGAAGCTGCTGGTGATGATACAGGATGTTTCTGATCATTAAACATGTTCCCAGAGTATGATCACATCATTCTATCTACAATCAGGCATGGACTTATTAAAGTGTGCAGTTTTCTGTCTTCTTAATTAATAAACATTGACATTGTTTTTGTTCTGGTTTTGGTCTCGACCTCCCCAGAATGACGTCTTCCTCTCAGGCTGCTACATGCTCCTGAATCAACTTGTGTTCTGATAGATTATCAACCTGATCAATGATCAATTAACATGAACATGAACTGATTGTCTGTTGGATAATAAACACATGTATGGCTGAAACTCAGCTGCCTCTGTGCTTCATTCACTGTAGTGTTAAAGTCAAAATGAATAAAACTGACACTCAAGGCACAATAAAGACCAGAGTGGACCGAGACCAAGACCAGACTGTACTGGGACTAAGGAAGTAGCAGTTGGAGCTGATCCCAGCTGACTCAGGGTGAAGGCAGGATACACCTTGAACAGGAACCCATATGAGCTCAAAGGAGTTCATCCAGGATTTCTAGTGTTTTACGTCAACCTCACTGAGACTTTACATCTACATTTACACTGTGTTACGCCCAGTCTAGGGGCACCTGACAGCCACACCACAGCAGCTTTACCGGACAAATAATGATTTATTTACAATAAATATGGGGTTAAAACAAAGGGACTGATTAACTTGAAAAAAGAGTGAGCTCTACTAAAAAAAACAACCAAAACGACACTAAAGTAAGGGAGAGCCGACTTCCATCCATCCATCCATCATCTATACACCACTTAATCCTCACTAGGGTCATGGGGGGCTGGACTCTATCCCAGCTGACAGGAGACACCCTGGACAGGTCGCCTGCAACAAATACTGGAGTCAGAGATGTTCTTGTTATTTTTTGTGGAGGTCTCAGTACCCTCTTTGTGTGTTTCTTCTTCTTCTTTACCTCCTTTGTTGGTGTCTCCGTCTGTGTTTATCTACCGCGGTCCTTTTCTGTTTCCTGTTTTATTTTGAAGTTAGCTTCTCTTGTGTCTTTTTACTTCCTTCCTTCGTATGTTTTCCCTCCTTGTTTGATTGCCCCTCTGAGTTCCACCTGTGTCTGATCAGTTCTCTGTCTTTGGTCAGTTTGTTCTGTTTGGTTTGCCTCCTTGAACACCTGTCTGGTCTTCAGCTGTCTGTTACCGGCCTGATCTGCTCCATGTGCTCACCAGGTTTGTGTTTTTATACCTTCAGCTGGATTTTGGTCTTTAAATATAACTGGACTTTATTACATCTGTAGAGAAAGTATTTTTGTCAAGAATAATCAAAACATATATATTTTCTTATGGTTTTTGTTATTCTAACTGTGTCTTGAGTTCTCTGTCCTTCTTCTCAGTAGTCTGGTTTCCACAGAGGTGCAGGATTTTCTATTGCAGTGAAAAATGAGACACAGAACATAAAAATAATCAGCTGATGAACAGGCTGAAGCAGGTAAAATGATAAGAAAGGCGGCTGAATTCAAATTATTTACTTAGTTTTTCTACCTTTAAGGAAACTAAAAGACAACTTCCTGCTAAAAACATTAGCAGAACGTTGCAGAACCTTCTGTGGACATTTGTGGACTGTAAACATGGAGCTGTGGTTCAGGGGTTTGAGAGTTATTTTGTCTGACATGTCAGGGACAATTTGAACTAGTTTTTATTTCCTATAGAGAGAAGGAGCCAATAATCTAAACACTAAGCCTTTATATAAGAATTGAATCCAAACCTCCCACAGATCCAGTCCCCAATTAACATCATCTCCTTGGATGGATCTATAATCCATAAACGTTTAGGTCTCTGGCTCTGCCTCTCTGTTGAAATCAACTCTCTGCTCGCCAAAGTCAAAAACAGAATTGGTTTTCTGTGTCGTAACAAATCCTCATTTACACGATCCGCCAAACACCTCCTGGTCAACATGACGGTGCTTCTGATGTGTGACTACGGCGACATACTTTATAGATCCACATCCAAATCCCTCCTCCATAAACTGGACACTATCTACCACACGGCCACTCTGTCCAGCCTGGTTAACTGGCCCTCTCTTCACAAACCCATTGGTGTTTGTTCATTTATAAAACTATTACAGGTCAAACTCCGGCATACCTACGTTCACTGCTCATCACCCGTCACATCATCCACCTCCTCATCCCCAAAGCCCGCACTGTTCAGTTCAGTTCTCTGCAGCTCTCGACTGGAACCAGAAAACACTCAAATTCTTTATGCCTTTATCATCTTTAAAAACGTATGGTGAAGGAACTATTTACTGAGTCCTGCTTTTAGTGTATCTTTTTGTTTGTGTATTGTTTTTGTTTTTTTTACAGATGTATTCCTTTTATTGTATTCTCTGTTCTGTAAATGAGAATTTGTTCTCAATTAACCCACCTGGTTAAATAAAGGAAAACTAAAAATGATCAATTAGCGGGTCAGCAGGTGACGATCCTGAGCCGCTGCTGCCTTCAAACCTCTGGATGCAAACTGTGCATCCGTCCACCAGATGGAGCTCACACATCTGCAAACCAGCCAGATGTGGACGTTACTGTTTAAAAAGCTCCACACCAGCGTTCATGCGCTTTTCAGACACTGTTGAAAGCCGACAGAACACGATGTGAAAATGTCAAACATCAAGCGTGAGGACAGTTTAAAAGAACTCTTGATTAATTATCTTGATTTTTTTTTTTATGCCATAAACTCTGGATATTTTAAAATAGTATCGGGTAAAATTTTCACTTGATATGTAAAAAAAATACTTTGAGATGCATTTTTTTAGAAGCAGGAGCTGAAAATCAACTCACTGTCAGCAGGTTGTTTTTTTTTTTCTCACATTGAAATTTGAGGCTGTTTGAACAACAACATCTCAGAAACTGTTAAAGATAAAAACTTGACACTTTCACCGTTTTTTTCTCATCATGTCATTGATTCAGAATCTGTAGTATTGGACAAGTGGAACAAATAATCTGTGATAGTTGAAATATAAAAAAAACAAAACAGTGAAGCCGTTCTAAAAAGTTCCATCTTTGAGCACATTAACAGAAAGATTCTACTCCAGAAGTCAACTTTTCTCATTGACATGTGGCTGCGTGTGACAATCACACAAAACTAAACATGTAGAATCCCTTTAATGTGGAACACTTGGTCGATTTGAACTATTTTAAAACTCCAGATCTGTTCTGCTTGGATCAGACGATCTACCGATGCTTCAGTCTTTGTGGTACAACTTGTCATATTTGCTCAAGTTCATTTTTAGTGCTTCGAATATGACTAGTTGACTTTTTTTTTGTGAATGTGCTCAAAGACGGAACTTTTCACTGTGGCTTTTAGTTTTAATTTATTTGAACATTTTCACAGATTATTTGATCTACTTGTCCAATGTTGCAACTCCTGAATCAACAACACGACGAGAAATAACTGTGAAAACTTCATTTTGTCTTTAATTTGAATTGATTTTATATTTGAAGCTGAAATCAAATCAGTTTGTTTATAATAAATATTCATACTTTATGCTGTAAAGGTTTCAGGCAAATCAGAGATGTTCAGGAGAAATCTCTTTGGGAAATGATTGGAGGTGGAATGAGCTTTCAGTAATTATCTACACACTGCTTTTTGTTTTTTTCATGTACAAGTTGTGCAGCTGGTATCTCAGGACATCAGGACGTCCGACTGCAGCAGCAGCTGAGGATCCTGTTTAACTCAATCAATCGATCAGATAATTGAATGAAGGCAGACTAATGAAATCCTTCAAGGTTGACTGTAATTCTGTGTCTCCTCTGATCTGAGCTTCTCTTTATCTTTTCTGAGCCGTCCGTCAGTCCGAGGCGCCGTCGAGTTTATCAGGAAATCACAGACGCTGAAACTAAAAATGAAGTTGTCACAGGCTTCACTTAAACTTTTTATAAACACTTTATGTCTCTTTGGGGCAGTTTTGTCTTCTGTTTGTGATTTCCTTCGTCTCCTTTCTGTTATTTTGTGGTGTCTTGTTTTTGTTTTGTGTCTATTTTGGGATTTTTGACAAGAAAAAAAACAACAGTTTGCATCGATCTCATTTGATTTCTGACAACTTTTAATGAAAGTATGTTAAACCAACAGTTTGTGGAATTCGATTTTCATCTTCAGTCAAAGTTAAGTTTAATTTCCAGCCACTTAATTTAACGACTGTAGCGAGTTTCTACTGTTAAAAACAAATAAAAAAAATTCTGGTTATTTAAAAGGAATTCAAAAAGAACAAATTGAATTGTTCCAAAATTACCTGTGTAGTTAAAAAATGAAGTTTTAAAGCTGATTTCATGAAGTTACCTCGACTTGAATCTAGAATTTAAGTTGATGCAAGATTATGTGGAGCATCAAAACAACCATGTTTGCAACTTAAATTATGTAAATCAGCAAATTTGAGTTTATAAAGGAAACTGATTTTCTTCAGGTTTTTGCCTGAACATGTAATCTACAACAAATTTATCTACAGACAGAAAATTATTTAAAATAAAATTTTATTTGACAGTTAAGTGACACGTCGGCTTTAGGCAACACATCAGAGCTTAAGACTTTACAAACATTTTTTATAGAACATTCAGTAAAACAAATATCAGCTTCGTATGTCTTTAAATTTCATCATAAAGTTCAACGTGGAAGCAGCACGTAACTTTGTACGTGTAATAACGTACAGATGCTTATGAACACCAGTTTTGTTTGAGTCCACAAAAAAATTGTCAAAATATCTAAAAAGTGGGACTTCGTCTTGTCAAACTTGTCAGATTCTACTGATGCTGGAGGCCTCAAACGTTGGTGGAACCAAAGACTGTCTTATTAGTAGGAAACAAGAAAACATCCATAAATATGAACTTACAGGAACTTTTTAGGGACTTTTTTCCATTTTCAACAGCTAATTGTTATTCATTAGTTTGATTTTTGTGACAAATTTAAATCACTTTGGAGTAATTCGGGTTTAAAATCAAAATATCTAAAAAGTGGAACCTTGTCTTGCTGCACTCGACACACAAATCCTGATGTTAGACGCCTCAAAACGTTGGTGTAACGTTGATGTGGGCTCAAACAAACGGGTGTTCATAGGGGTCTGTGTGGTGTCATATGTGCAAAGCTACAAGCTGCTTCATGTGAGGCTGACTTTACTGTAATACTGTGGATTCTTGGTGCACATTAAAGCATTTGCACACTTTTGTCTCCTCAGATCCAGATGTGAACTTTCTTTACAGCACAAACTTGACCAGGATGATTCCGGCCAGCGCACAGAACCGCTGCAGTCGAACCGAACCTCCTGCAGAATGAACCAGCTGCGGTTCGGACGCATATTTTCCCAGAGAAGGAATCCACAGCGAACAGTTTAAAGGCCGACTCAGGTTCACTTTCTGCACGTCTATCTCACTCTGAATGTTGTAGAATCCATGTTGGTCCTTGTCTTCTTCTGTGGTGGCAGAATCTGTCAGGTTGGCGTCTTCCTGGAACCAGTGAACCGAACCGCCAGGATAAAACCCGCTGAAGGAGCACCAGGCGTGGGACTGGTTCATCGAGGAAGCAAGACGTCCAGAACACTCTGTCAGGATCAGATAAGCCCGAATTCATTAATCCTGAAGGAAAATCTTCTGCCAGATAATCCTCAGAAAACAAAAGTGAGCTAAAGTAACACTAGAAAACAAAAACAATACTGACAATGATTCTGAAGTGGCCATTTATACTACTTTGAATAAATTATAATGCATATAATGTAACATACACGTTTATATTATAAAAGATTAGATATTAAAATACAAAAATACATGAAAATGAAATATTACACCTATAAAAAACAAATGGAAAATGAAATATTTTAGAATTTCACAGTATTATATAAACTTTTAACACATTTTTTCTCACTTTCTTGATGCCAGATTTTCAGTTTTTTTCAGATCTTTAATGATTTTTCTTGGTGTGACACCCTAAACTCACCTCTCACTGTCACGTTGGTGGTTTGGGCTTTTACTCCCATGTTACTGCGCAGTTTGCAGAGGTAGCTTCCCGCGTCGATGGGCCTGATGTTGGCGAGTCTCAGAGTGAGTCGGTGGTTCGAGTCCGTCGTCGTCCTTTCACAGCCGAGCTCTGGGTTTTCATATTTACAGGTTTTATTTGCAGCCACCCAGGACAGTAGTTTCATATCCAGCGGACTTGATGATTTGACATCGCAGTTCAGAGTCACGTTTTCTCCACAGTTTGTCGTCAGCGGCAACGTGGTCTGCAGCTCCACATCTGGACGGATTACTGAAGACGGAAATAACAGCTTTAACTGAAAGGTCTTTTCATTGCTCATCTGGTTTATGTCACATTTTACTCTTATAATCAGCATTTTTAGTCATGTGGCAATCTGCAAAGAAATCTAATTATTTGACAGATATTTGCCGTTTCTAAAGTCTTTGAATGTTACATTGTTTCTCTGTTTTTGGAATATATCTTTTCTGGCACCCTTACTGCATGACTGTTTTATATTTTACTTTAACTGTGAAGCTATAAAATGAACCATGGTGTTCCTCAGGGTTCAATTTTAGGTCCTTCAGTTTTTAACCTTTACATGCTGCTCCTTATAAATGTCACTAAGCGGCTATAAACTATGAAATGAAAGTAAAATATCCATCCATCTATACACCGCTTAATCCTCACTAGGGCCGCGGGGGGGCTGGAGTCTATCCCAGCCGACTTAGGGCGAAGGCAGGGGACACCCTGGACAGGTCGCCAGTCCATCGCAGGGCTACACTTAGAGACAGACAACCAAGCACACTCACATTCACACCTACGGACAATTTAGAATCACCAATTAACCTCAACATGTTTTTGGACTGTGTGGGAGGAAGCCGGAGAACCCGGAGAGAACCCACATGCAAACTCCACGCAGAAAGATTCCGGTGCCCCCACCGGGACGCGAACCGGCAACCTTCTTGCTGCAAGGCAACAGTGCTACCAACTGCGCCACCTTGCAGCCCAAGTAAAATATCATAAATAATTTAACACATATAGAGAAACCCCTCACTAAATCCACACACACTTCAAACCATTTCAAATTTTTGCAGCTTAGAAACACAAATTCTGCTTTAAAATGTGAGTTAACTGCACTGTGGTTGATGAAAAGCCATCTTATGAGTGGCAAAAGTGTAAAACTAGAGTAAAATTAGAAAACAAGCTCAATAAACTCCAGATATGAAGTTAAATCGGCTTAACTTATTGACTTGTTTTACTTTTGTGTTTTGCAAGTTTGATGAGTTTCTTCTTGCCTTAACTGCTGAAGCCATTTTTAACCAGATTTAGTGTCAATGACATAAAGAAACAACCACCTCTGAATTTAACAGACACACAGCAAGTTTCGACCACCAAAAGTACATTGTAGTGTCACATATTTGTGTAAAACTGACTCAGAACAGCGACTCACCTGGTGAAACGAAGCTGAAAATGGAAATCCAGATGAAAACATGCTGAGATTTTGCAGCAGAGCAGAAACTCATCGTTCTATCTGCGTTAAAACCAAACTTTTAACTCATCAGGCCAAGCAGGTAAAATCCAAACTAACAGCCGGTTTATGTTTTCCTGAACTCTCGGTTGCAGTTTGATTTATGGAAGCTGCTGCGGCTGAGTTTCGTTTGAACATGCAGCGATCAGTGGTGAAGCTGAGGCTGGTTTCAGGTTCAGACTTGTCCTGGAATGAAAGACTGTATCAACAGTAGCAGAAGTAAAGTTTCATTTCTTCTGCATTTAAAAAAAAAAAAAAAGACACTCACAGTTAAACTCTAACACAGTTTAATTTATGAACTTGTTTTACTTTCCTGGTTACCTTCATTCCAGCCTGATTGAACCATGTCTTTACCACTTCTGATGTGTGTTTGAGGTCTTGTTGAAACAACCAGCTGTGTCCAAGATCCAACCTTCTGGCTGATGATTTTAGGTTTTCTAGAACAATGTGGAGATAATCCTCCTCCTTCATTTACTTTGTGTAAAGAACCAGTTCCACTGGCAGCACAACAGCCCCAGAGCATAATACTGCCACCACCATGCTTGATGGTAGGTTTGGTGTTCTTTGGGTTGAAGGCCTCACCTTCTCTAGTTCAAACATATTTCTGGTCATTGTGGCCAAACAGCTCAGTTTTCTCCAGAAGGTCTTTTCTTTGTCCACGTGATCAGCACAAGCTTCAGTCGACCTTTAAGCTTCTACTTCTAGAGGATGAACTTCATCTTCATGCAGCCTCTCGGCTCATGTTGATGTAAAACACTGACAGATATGAAATCCCAGAATGCTGCAGTAGTTGGTCAACATTTTGACTTCAACTGAGGTAAGCAGAGTTTAGGTTTCTTTTGCCTCTATGACAGCTGTAGCCACATGTTTAAGTCTTCAGGTTGTTCCGTTCATTATTGTGACGTCTGTTAAACATGTGAAGGGAATCTGTTCAAATGTGAGCCGATTAGATTTTGTTGATCTGAGGTCACTGTGAAATCAACAAAACACACAAATCAAACACTTTTCCATTTCTGACCACAAGCCAAGAATTCAAACTCTACTTTTGACAGAACTTCCTCCTCCTTCGGTGGGACGAAGGCTTAAGGAGAGGAAAGCAGGAACATGTTTTAAACCCAGAGACACATGAATATTTGAAACGTTCAGTGTTGTTTCCGTCTAGATCCGACTGCAGCCAAACATACAGATCCACCGAGCTCATGAATAAAACGCTCAGGTTTTATTCAGAAATGGTTATTTCAGAGTTCTCAGCTGGTTCAGGATAAATAATTCACATTTGTCAACGAGCAGCAGACAAGATGAATGTTTAATTCTATGTTCAGGCATCAAGACGGCGAGGGGTCCAACAATACGAATGGTGGATGTGAGATGTTATCTATGAATCAAATAGTGATTAAAAACAACTAGAAACAGGATTTTTAGTTATACCTGCTGCACAAATTGAAAACAGTGATTTAATTTATCCTTAAAAAGGGTAAAGGTCACACATTTCAGTTATTTTGGGGGTTAAAAGGTTTGGAAACATCAAGTTTTGTTCTGAAGTGTCTCTAAGAAGTATTTTATCCACGGGGAAGTTTTATTGTGATCGTCAGTACATCATGGTCAATTTAATAGACAAGAATTTACAAAAATGATCGTCATGTGCGTGAGATTGCGTTTACAATACGGAGTCCAGACTCACAGGTTGTCAGCAGACGACCTCCACAGGATGGAGAATGTGTGGAATGGCTTCCTGAGGACGATGGTGAGCGGGGATACGTCAGCAACACCACTGGCTCCCAGTCCTGAGACGTACATTATTATATTTATTGTATATTTAATATTCCAGTCATCATGAGAAGTGTGAAGAGCAGCATGCAAAGTTCCAGACCGGCCAGGCAGCACCAGAACATCTGCATACGGACCAGCTTCACTTCCAGAACGTCTGGTTTGATCGAAGAGCTTTGGAGTGTTGTGAGTGTCATTAATTCTATGAAAAGACAAACATGTAGTTCTCATTTCATTTAATTGATCTAATTAGTGTTCTGTTGTCCCTTCTCTACAGACTTGTGTTGCAGATGGCACATTGATAGTTAAGGTGCAGCATCAGAACTGAGAGAAGAACATTAAACTACAGTCTCCTGATGGTGAAGAATCCATTTCTGAAGGTATGTTTCATATTTGCTGTGTTTAGATTGAATGGTCGCCGTTACATTTAATCACTGGAACAATTTGGTGTGTAGGAGCCATTTATGTTTGTCAGCTAGTAACATGATGTGGATCATTATTATTATTATTATTATTATTATTTGGGTCCGAGCATCCAAAAGGCTACAAAGACTGTATTGGAACTGCTCGACTATTTATTGTTGTTCCATCAAAAGCAACGCGTTTCTGAGGCACTAAACATACTCACACACGCACCAATCTCGCCACATACGTCAGACCTGGCGAAAGATTTTCTAATTAGGGGGAAACACACACCTCAATAGCAAAATGGCTCAACAGCGCCCCCTACAAAATTACAAAAAATGGGCCCCCGAACACACTTTCAGCCACGAAATTCGGCACACATATGTAACAACTCGATATGCACAAAAAAGCCTCAAGAACATGTACCCGAAACTCAACAGGAAGTCGGCCATTTTGAAAAAAAATGGCAGCTTTCTGCCAAAAAAAAACCTGCCATTTTTGGCCATTTTCAAAATCTGCCTCCTCCTAGGGGGTAAGTCGTACACACCTGAAACTTGGCCAGCACAAACTACACCACGTGGTGATTAAAAGTTATCAAAATGCTCCGCAAAAGTCTGACGGTGTGGAAATGGCGGACCGTACAATTTCGCCAAAACGCCATAAAACGCCATCCAATGGGAGGTGATGTGTAACTGGCCTGTACGTGCTCCGATCGGCCTGAAACTTTACCCGTGTGCTCCGAGTCACAGCCAGAGCGCGTTGAATACATATGTACACCGACTGGCTCAGTCGCACTCCAGCGAGAAGCGAGGACCTGACCAATGCCGCTTGTGGCTTTAGTTTGGAAATACTTCTCTGTGACCGCCCAGTTAGTTCGTTCCTCCTCTGAGGTTTATGTAAGTCTCTGTAAATCTCTCTGACTCATGTAAAGTCTTAGTTTATGGAAGGAGACGCCTAACAGGTGTGACTCACCTCAAGGGAAAACAGGGCACCTTCCATTAGCTTCAACAAAGAAGCTTCTTTGGAAATCAACTACCAATAAAAGTGTGACTTTTTTTGTGCCGCTGGATTTTGCTGAGCTGTCGTAACTTGATCCGGAGAACGGTGTGGACTGTAATTACATTCAGAACACACAGCTGCTCTGTTCCCCGTGTTCTGCAGCTGCACATCCATTTTTACCTGTAAATTATTTAACGTTCTGTCTGTTTCTCTGAGAGTTTGTACAAGGAGCTGCTGTGAGTGAAGAAGGCGAGACGGAAACTACAGATATAGAGTAAAATTAAGAGAAAATGTGTAAACTGTGACATAAAAAAAGTCTAAATGATCAAATAAAAAGCAATATTATCCACTAGATATGTTCATTTCTGACATAGTACGTTGAAGTTTAGGCTTTTTGTGTCAAAACTGTGGGACAAGAACAAACAACCGAACGTAGGATTCTTATATTGTAGTGACATAAAGACGTGTCCACTGAATCAGATGTTCTAGGTTTGTTTGTGATGATTGATTAAGAAAGTTTTTAAGCTATCATCCTGCCACAAACAGTGCTCTGCCTTTATAGAACCAGTGTAACAGTGGACGTAGACGCTTAAAGACATCCGCCAAGAACTCATGTGTTTGAGAAGAAACCAGAATTCTAACATCCAAGTGGCACAATCCTGGACACTAAACACAACCGTTTTTTTCTTAGATGACTCTGGCAATTATTGATTCAGAAGCTTTTCAAAGTTAGCATCCCTTGCGTCCTGCCACAAATGGTGCTCTCCCTTTACAAAAGCAGTAAAGAAAGACTCAGACGCAGGTTTGATGCCCATCAGTTTAAAAACAGCCTTGATCCAGATCTGTGAGATCAGCTCAGCTCATCTTTTCTTTACAATCAAAATAACATTCCTGGAAATGAACAGCCTCCCTGGCTGTTTCCAGTCACTTAGCTTCTCTCTCTTCTTATTGTCTTCATCTTGTATCTGGCCTCCCCCCTCCTCCCCCTCCTCCTCCTCCCCCTCCTCCCCCTCAGCTGCATTATGACACACCACCTCCCCCTTTGTACTCCGATTACTTTTCCACCTTTTTTCTTCCTGCAGACACCCAGAGACGCCTCCATTCGTCTCTGTCCAGCCTCCACTGTTCACTCCCACACACATTTCACACTTTTCACTTTGCTTCCCTTTTGTTTTTGTAGCATCCTTTCTTCCTCCTCTTCATCTTCGTCTCTTGTAGCCTCCGTGGCGGACTCCCTTAATAATTTATGAGAATCTAAAATTCAAATGAAGCTCAGCTTGCAGAGAGAGAGAGAGAGAGAGATCTTTTATTAACACTCTCTCTCTCTCTCTCTCTCTCTCTGTCTCTTCCTCCCCCCTCCATCCCAACATCGCACTCCCTTGCTAACAGTTGCCGTGACAACCGTCTCCCTCGCCCTAGAAACAGGTTGCAAGAGATGAACGCCTCCTCTTTTCTCCGTCCCTGAACATCTTCCTCTCATAATAAAGTAAAAAGTAAAAGTGGAAAATGTTTAAGAAAGTGTTTCGAAGCAACTTCTGTTCTACTGTTAAACTCTCAAACACCCACAAACACACTTTGTCCGGTTTTCAATCAAGATGCTCAGGAAGCAAAACTGACTCGTGCATATTATACTGATGACTCACTGCTATTGATGCAAATGACCATTTTTACTGCACTTCAAAAAAATACATTAAAAAATAGTGTTCAAGCTGTAGCTACTGTGTGTAACTAATCATTTTATTTTCTACAGTTCTTTGTTGAAATGTACTCTTCACAGAATCATTTAATCCAGTTTGGAGAACATGTAGTCAGACCCAGACAGATCCCAGGCATCCTAACCGGGATCTTGCTGCTGTGAGGCGACAGAGCTAACCACTGAGCCACCTTGCAGCCCGTTGTGACGGCTGTAAAAATTCTGATATTTAATG